AATTATCATGCTTGGGAGTGTTTGTAAGTGTTCGTGCACAACCATTCTTTTGCTTCCCTAATATGTATAAATTATCCTGCTTAACATCTCGGGCACCACCTTTCCTGATGGTGTATTGTGCTTTAGCAAACAGTATTTCATACCCCTTATTATCCAAACTTGAAATGCTTAACAAATTATGATCTATGTCTGGTACATAAACTTTACCTTCCCCTTTAACAGCAGACCGTTGTCCATTAGCCAAACTAACAAATGTTTCCCCAATATCAGGTACATAAACTTTACCTTCCCCTTTAACAGCAGACCGTTGTCCATTAGCCAAACTAACAAATGTTTGCTTAGCTGGTCTCAAACTAGAAAACATTTGTGGGTCATTTACAATATGCTGACTCGCCCCACTGTCCAACCAAGTGTTTCTAGTGTTCTCAGTCAATGTTGCTGCCAGGGAAAATAATGAACCATCCTTCATTGGCTGTGTAGCTCTACGACCTTTTCTTGCTGCTCCTCTGTTTCTCCTCTCAGGGCAGCGTCTCTGGAGCAGCTCTGTAGAACCACACCTGAAGCAGCATTTCACTGTGCAAACGTTCTCAGCTACTCTGCTAGCATCTTGGGACATTGCAGTTTTAGACCTGGGCTGTGCGTTGTCGCCACCTCTTCTCTGCTGCCTTTCCAACCATTTCTGTTCCTCCTCAAGCAACCGGCCAGTCAAATAACTCATGGTTAAGTCCCTGTCTCGCATAGACTCTAAACTAGTCACTAGAACGTCCCATGAATTGTCCATCGAACTGAGTAACACATACACCTTGTGTGCTCAGTAAACGTCATTCCTCTTCTAGCTCTAGGAATGTCTTTCTCATGGACTCCAAATGTGTAGACATGCTCTCTCCCAGTCTCAGTTGGGCCTTATACAGCTTCCTTGTCAGCATTACTTTGCTGCTCGCAGTCTCTCTAACGTACACACTGCGCAAAGCTTCCCAGCACTCTTTAGCAGACTGGAGACCCCTCACGTGTATCAGCTGGCTATCCTCCAAATTCAGGAGTATGCTGGCCAACGCTTTTTAATTCCTTCTCGGGTCCCCATCATCCAGGGCTACTGGTGGATCAGTAACTATCATCCACAACTCCTCCCTTTGCAGGTACATTTCCATCTTCACATACCAGGAAAGGTAGTTTGTCTCATTCAGTCAAGACACTACGAAACCTCCTTCCATTATGCCGATGGAGCCCATGTTGCCTGTTTCCTCTAACAACCACTAACCACAAACAAACCACAAAGTACAATCCCTCTGGCTCTGGGGCAAGCTCTCATTGGGTTTCTCTTCTCTCTGGGCCCATAACCTGTCAGAGCATGCACAGTCCTATCACATGTGACAACCCAGGAGCAGACACAGCAAACAGTGGTTTGTAACAAATGGTGGCTTATCTACAATATCTACAATGCTATATAAGTATCACTAGGAACAGTATACATACATGTCCTACGAACAGAATCCAACAAACAGCAAATACAGCAGGAAAGGGAAAAGAAAGAAAAAGACACACTAGCAGAACCTCCCCTTTTTTACACAGGCTCCTAGAGACAACAGCCAAAGACCCTACTGACTCATTCCCATCATTGCATCAGCTGGTCAGCTCTTAAATCATCATCTTGACATTCCAGAATTAAACTATCATTTAAACTATCATTTTGTGACATTCTGCTACCATAAATAGAGCCTGAATAGAAAACTCACCCTACATTGGGCAGAATTTGGGCAAACACCTTGGGCAGCAAGAAGAGGGATGATAGCCTTCAATTTTTTTCCTCTTGATCTCTTTACTCATCCCATTTATTGCATATAGACAATATGTTTATGCAACCTTTCCTGTGTCCTTAAACTAGTCTCAGGTGCATGAAGGAGGCTGTTCCATCACGACTTTTGTCAGCTTCTGTAGGAGGAATAGGGGCATATGCCCCTTGCCTTGATATCAAAAGGTTTTGACTTAACTTTGCTGAAAGTCTATCCTGACCAAGCTTGAAACCATAAAGTTATGAGAATAGCATTCGTTCCTTATCTATCACCCTGTGGAAGGGCAATCCTTGTGAAACATTTTCTGGCTGTTACCACAGGGATGGACAGATTTTATGTCTTCCAGCTTAGTTTCAGTTCCCTTTACACTCTATACCAGGCATGTCAAACTTGCGACGTCATGTGACGTCGCACGACATATTGTGACTTTTTTCCCATCGCCGGCAATGGGGTGGAACGCGGTTTCAGTATGATGCATCCGGCCCGTGGGCCGGCAGTTTGACATGCCTGCTGTATACAAACAAAAATAGATTATTTCAGATGTTTACAAGCAGCCTACTTCTTGGAAAAGTGAAACTGAGTGTCAAGAGAATAGGTGTCCCATCACTTCGTGTGTACCAGCTCTCACATGATCCTCAGATAAACACCCTGAGAGAATGTGACCCTTTATAATCTTTGTATCGTTGTATCCCTTTAAATCTTCTTATATTCAGTCTTGCTGTTTTGTTTCAGCAAGTTCATCATATCGTGAATGATGCCCTGAAGCGCTACAGTGAAGATCGCATTGGAATGGTTGATTATGCCCTTGAATCTGGAGGTAGGTTTCACACAAAAAAACCCACAGCTTTCATATCAAGAAACTAGAAATATTTTGGTTTCATCTACAAGTTTAAACATTTGGAAGGCATTTTTCTTTGTTCTCTCTCTCTGTGTATAAACGTTTTAAGAACAATAATAATTAATTCAACTAAATTAGTACAGAGACAATGAAAAGGGGAGCAGTAACAGAAAAAACGAAAAGTGCAAGAAAATGGAAGAAAGTAGAAAAAAGTTATAAAGAAAGAGTTAAAGGTATAAAGAAATAGTTTCCAATATTCTTCACAGCACTTATAAGTACAATTATATTGTAACTTCTTTCTCTAAAGTTACAGCATGAGTCCATAAGGTATGCTGCATTTTCAGGCTTATTGCTTCCATAAAGCTGGCAAAGTTTTCCCCCAGATTCATTCTCTGCAAAAAACAAAACAAAACCAAGCATGAAGTAGGCAAATCTGTGTAATAGTCTAATACCAGCTTTCTAGTTCCTCATTTACAGAATGATTTGGGGATTAGCACTGTGCACAACTTACCTTCATCCATTCACTTTAATTACAGGGGCCAGTGTTATCAGCACTCGTTGTTCAGAAACCTATGAAACCAAGACTGCACTTCTTAGTCTTTTTGGCATACCATTGTGGTATCACTCCCAGTCTCCAAGGGTCATTCTACAGGTATGGGTTTGTTTTTAAAGGAACAATAGAAACACTGTTCTTTTTTCCCCACTCCCTGTTCACTCCCCAGAGCATTTTGCTTATGTCCCCTATTTGTCACTCGGTTTACTTCCTGTGGCTTTTCTCCCATGATGGGGCAGATAGGTTTTTGTAGCAAAGGGAAGGTTTCTTCCTTTCTCTAGTGTTTATTGCAATAACCATGAGATATCCATAGTTACTTTGTCACCTAGTTCATTCAAGAAGATAAGAAGCTTCTCTGAAATGCGTTATTTATTAACTAAACAAAACTGGAAGAGGTACTTTGATAAAGATAGAGCAGTGGTGGCGAACCTATGGCACGGGTGCCAGAGGTGGCACTCAGAGCCCTCTCTGTGGGCACGTGTGCCGTCGCCCCAGTCCTAGGCCTTCAGCTGGGTTTTATAAAACCTTTTCGCTTTAGGCCTCCGCTGCCATGTGCAAAAAAAAAAAAGGTTCAATCAGTCAATTTCAGCTTCTCGCGG